TGGAGACTGGTAGTTAGTTCAACAAATCAATCTCTGGCATGCAGGCAAAGTTGGTTACCAAAACCTGACCTCCTCTCCTTCACTCAATTGTCATTTTGCAAACCCAAGCTTCCTAGGCAAGGGAAATTTCTTCAGTTGACCAACTCTTCCCAGGTAGTATTTTGCAAGAGTTGGTGAAGTGGATAGTAAAAAGGGATAGTGATTTCACCTTCACTTCTCTAACAAGTGGATTGCAACAACTCCCTGACTGCCATCTCAAGCACTTGACTGTTACAACTGCCATCCCATCACAACTGCCTCAAAGTTCAGAATCTACCTGGTTCTATTCAGGTATTGCAGTATGTCTAGGCTAATAATAACAGTAATATTATCAATTTCTCTATAAGACACACCTCAACACACACTTGCCTTATTTTTCTACAAGCTATTTCAGCATTCAGTGTCCATGGGGAATGACAAGTTTGATCTGAGATTAATCCCTGAATTTAATGGTTCAGACTGGGGTTGCTTTATCATTGAATGGTTAAAAAAAAAACAAACTGGTCTGCAATCTATGCAGCATGAAGAACATTGCTAGTGTTCTGCTGCTCCAACTCATGGAAGCTGCATTTACTGTATTACAGCAACTAAGCAAGGAAGAAAGAAAAGATGTGGGCCATATCATGGGCACCCTGTATGTTGCCTTTGCCAGAGATCCATTTGCAGCATATGACCAGTTCATCACTAGACACTTGAATTTGAATGAATCTGTGGATGTTTACTTGGCAATCTGCTGCAGACCATTAACCTTGGACTGTGGATTTGAGTGTGCATTTGTAGTAGGGTTGCCTGAGCGCATCAGGCAGCTGCTTTTCCTTTCAAATAGATGCACTGGACATCAATCAACTGTTAAAGTGAGTCAGAGCCACAGGGAAGGATGGTGTGCCAGCAGTGGGATCAATTATGGCAGCCCCAAAGCCTGAACAAAAAGGTACAAATTCAACTTCCACCAACGATCTGTAGAACGATATTGTCTGCCACTTAGCTAGAAATTGTTTGAGTCAATGAGCTGGACAAACTGTGAGCCTGTGCAAGGTTGTATGTTGCTATCACTGTGATAAATTGAATCATGTATCATGAAACTGCCTGGGAAACAAATTGAGGGAAAAAACATTAGCGCCAGTCTCATTCCCATCCAGATGCCTGTAGTCAACATATTGGTTAATGGGGAATGCTGTTTAGCTCTCATTAACTCTGGCTACTCTCAGTCAATTGTTAGTACAGAATGATGCCAGGAAACATGTGGATATGGAGATGATCAGTTGTGGAATGTTTGCATGCTATGGTTTTGGAATTATTAATATCTTCACAGATGATGGCAACTTAGCCAAGATTGACAAACTTTTCAAGTTTGACTTGCTTGCTGAGATCAATGTCATAACAGCATTGGGTGGCATCAAGCTTGTCTTTCCATATCAAAGGCCATAGTAAAGTCAGCCATCAGGAGCTGTGTGCAGTGCACAACAATAGACCCTGCACCAGTTCATGAGTAAAAGTGAACTGTACTTGACACTGGCTCAGCATGGGCATCATGCACTACTGCTGCTGTCATTATTTGACACATTTTTCTCTGTGGTAGCTGTTACATGGCCAAAACTCATTGAGTATCATATGTCAGCTGGAGTCAGTGTTCTGTGAAAGGGGACCACCTCATGGGCTACTTACAGACAATGACACCAACTTCCACAACTAGGATTTCCAGGCCCTTGCCAAAAAGATGAGACATGCATTTGTCATTTCCATGTGTACATGTCCCAGTAGGAAATGAAATAATGGAGAGTGACACAGAAGTGTCAAGAGGATTGCAGCAATGATAAAATGTTCTCTCCAAGTGGCTACTCACTGGTACAATATCACCCCCCAAAGATGATGCCTAGTCTATAGATATGAGGTTCAGCTTAAAGGGATTGATTCAGTACTTCCAATTATGTCTGAGGTGAGATACAACAACTTCCAGAAAGGGACAAATTACTGGAATTGTTAGTCATGCCATGCCATGTCAGTAACCTCTTTCCATCCAAGAGCTCATGATCATTAACAAACATTAAGGATGATATGTCTAAAAGTGATGAGGAAATACTCATAAGCATGGATGGACCAGATGATCCCACAGAGGATGAATCACATGGGGAGGAGGTAGAGGAACATGAACCAGTACTACTTTGAGGACACACTTAACAGAAGAGACATGCTCCAAGCTGTCATATCTGTGATCAACACGTTTCTTTTTGCTCCAATAAACATGAGGCATGACACAGACTGAAGATTGTATTGAACTTTGTTACTTCAACTTCATTTCTTTCTTTATCCTTCTGTAACATATCTTGTTAATACATTTATTAATTGTTGCTTGTTTGAATTCTATGTGTACCCTTTTATTGTTACCAGTACTTACATGAGTCTGCTAAAAATTGTTTGTGGGACAAGTGTATCAGGAGGTATAAAATACTTTCCATTCCTGCAACACTGTGTGGAGATTACCCACATCTTACCTGCTAGTTGGTGTTCTATTTAGGATTATAAAAAGAACCTGTATGAACCTTCTTTCTCTCTGTTTTGCTCTGTAATGTAACAACAATATGAAACTTGTAGATTTCTTTCCCCTGGCAAACCAACTAGTGAATTTCAAACAAACAACATGGAGACACACACACACACACACACACACACACACACACACACACACACACACACACACTACAGCTAAGTAGATAAATGTTTTTTTTTCTTTTTTATTTCAAGCTATCAATACACATGTAGCGGATTGTCACCATTATGTAAGGGTGATGTTACATATATTTATCTTTTGACTAGGAAATGCATGATTAAGGAAAGCAAAGAAGCTGGATGTTACTATCCAATTTGGCATGCACAATGCAATTTATATTTGACATAAAACAGCAAATAGTATAAAATACAAAACAGAATGTAATGATTCAAAACATAACAATTGAATTTATTAGTATTTTGTGTACATGCATATAAGCTGAAGGTTTGATAGAGTTATATCTCTTAGATTTGGAAATATTTGTACCTGAGCTCATAAAGTGAATTAATTATTAAACTGTAGTTTAGAAGAATAAGTTCCTGTTGCATGTTAGGAATTGTGGGTTGGTAAAGTTGGTAAGAGTTCGGAAGAGATTTTAGAGTTCGTACTTGCGTGAAATGGTAATGGTCTTTAACATCTGACCGCAAGGTTAAGACGAGAGTTCTTGAAGGTCACATTTTGGCAGCAAGAGTGACAAAAAAGAGAGAGAGAACCACTCATGTTTTGTTTATATAAGATGGTGTATCATGTGACTGGCTCAGAGCATATTGAGCTGGGAAACAGATTTGTCGCGTGCAGGCGGTTTGATTGGTCAGAACTGACCAATCAGCGAGCTAATTTTGGGTAGATTAACCAGTGAATGCTTGTTGCATGATTTCTATATACTGTGTGTATGAAATTGTGGTGGTAGTTACCACACACATGTAAGTAAGAAAATTTATTTCACTTCTTTTGTTTTCTTTATATAAATATATGTATCAAATATCTCCAAATGTTGAAATTCATTTCTTTTAAAAATCTTGAAATTTGTTTCTTTTTAATGGGCCTGCTAAGCAAGAAGAAATATTCCCAGTTTGAATTTTCCCATTATAGCCATTAATATATCTGTGATATAGTAACACCATAATACATGAATGCAGCAAAATATCTGAAATAAAGGAATGACAAGCATGAATTATTCTCAAAGATACATACTTATTACAAATTTATCCCACACAAAGAAATTATAACATATGTCTACAACAAGCAGTGTGAAAGGAGAGAGTGTCTTACTTGTAATATTCTCCAACAGGAAATATGGCAAGCTGGGATGGGTCTTTTATGTTTTTGATGAGATCATGTGGGTTCCTCTGTTCACCATACCACTATGGGCTTGTTACACCCATCCACTGTGTGGGTCGCATAACAACTGGCCTGGTTTCTCTATCAACTGATGTCACTCACTAGACATCACATGACTGCATCTCAACCAAAGGGAGATAACTAACCTTTGCATCCCTAGATTCTGAAAATGTTGAATTTGTTTCTTTTAAAAATTTTGAATTCATTTTCTTTGAAAAATTTTATCCTAACAAATTGTGACTCCTCCTGCTAAAATTATTGTTTGGTTACAAACTGGTGAGCAATGGCAACTTTGTTCGTTATCATCCTGGAACACCTTATTTGCTACAACTATATAATTAAGTACATAGATTTCTCTGCACACAGATTAAACTATAACTGGACTAAGAAACACCCATTGAAGAATATAAATTTTCTCATCATATACAATGTAGTATTTCTACTGAAAATATAAGATGTGGTCAAATGTACTACTTTCTTTATTTTGTAAGTTCTACAATATCTTTGTCAATATTAATGGATGCCAAAATGTATTAGAAAATTCCTTTGATTTCTCTGGCATTAAACCAAAATTCCCTGACTTTTCTTAAAAAAGAAATTTCTATTTACTGATAATTCCTCAATTCCCTGTTTTATGGGTTGGCTGTGAACCATGTATAAGTTCATAATAGCACTTAGTAAAGTTAATATTGAATAAGTTGTAATGAATCTGTTGAACTTTATAAGGGAAAAAATATTGAAATCATAGCCAAAACTAGCACTTTCTTTACTCAAATCCATGATTAAAGTGAAATGGATCTTCCAGAATTTCCTCGAAGTCGATTCATACTTTTAATAATTTTTTTGTAAATTTTAACAAATCCTTCACTGAAAAATTCATGTAGGTTAGAAAGAGACAATATAGAATTTTTGTCCTGTAGTGTTACCATACATTCAGGTGATTGAATCGTCAGCAGTAACGGTCAAGTTCCGGCGGCGTGACTTCCGGTTTGACGCCATGGCAGACGTCTTGGGAATGTGAATTTTAACGCAGCTTGAGTATTTTATCAGCCTCCCTCCTTTATTTGAAACCATGAGCAACATACAAATAGAAAAACTCTTTAACTTGCATAGGTAGGTTTCAGGCGACCAATTGTCGTAATCTGATTTTTTTTTTTACTATATAAAATTTGAAACCTGTAAAAAGGAGAGAGAAAAAAAAAAAAACATCACGTCAAAATAATCTTGTCTTTTCTTTAATACGAAAATATGAAGCGCAGATGATTGTTATTGTTTCTCGTTTTTTAATTTTTTTTTTTAACCATAATGATCGACATAAGAGCTCTATTGCTTTCTATTTTTAAAGTATTATTTTTCAGTCGTTATAACGCGATAACTTTTCTACTTGCGTTATTTATTTTTTTGAATTGTTGATGTTTATTTTTATTTATGTTCCAGCTTCTTTATAGATTCTATTTATTCGAGTCTCCTTTGCTTCCTGTTGTTACAGTTGTTAGGATAATTATTTTACCTTTGATTTCAATTCTTTCTTTTCGTATTATAAACATTTTGTATAAATTATAGCTAGAAAATTATTTTAATTATTCTATTTATTGTTATTACTATTCAAACTGCGAATACATTCTAAATGGTAAAGTTTACGCAACAAACAAGGACTAAAAACTGACAATTTCTTTATTTTGTCTGCCTTGTTTCTAAAAATAACTCCCGCCTCTAACCACGATTTTTTTGTTTTTAAATATATTTTAAAAGTAAAACATAAACAACTAAATTACTGAGTATTATGTCAAGACATTTGGAAGTTATTTTTTTTTAAATATTAGTAAGTTACGTTTATTTCTTACTTAGTTTCAAATAGATAAATACAAACTTCCTTAAAATTAAAAATCAGCTGAAAATTTAATTTCAAAAATTAAAATTTTTAATTTTTTTCGTTTATTGCGAACAGTAAAACTGCTGCAGTATTTTTATATAAAATAAAAGCAGTAGTAGTAATAAATTCTTAAGAACCGAAAACAACTCCGAAAATTATTCGAAGGTACATTTTTTTTGCCTTCATCATCAGCCAACACAAGAATTAAAACATGAATGTTAATGTATCTTATTTCAAACAAACACATATCCATAAATAAATAAATAGCATTCTCATACTAAGACATAAAAATGCTGCTATTTATTTTCTATATTTATTTGTTTGTTTATTACATTCTAACCGGCATTTTTTGAGAGCACTAATTCTTTAAGATTCTGCTTACAATCATTCTGAATCCCATCCCATATCACTTTTCCAAGAATGTTTCTCCCTCGGCCCAGAATATGACTTACAAAAATTTCGGCTAGAGAAAAAAATTGTGTGCCTCTTTTTTTTTCTTTTTTTTTTTTTTTCTTTTTTTTTTAACTCATTCTCTTGTATTTGGTCAGTTAAAAATAAAATATCCTCACATTTAGTAATAGTACACTCATTTTCTTAATCAGTACATGCAAAAAAAAATATCAAATATGATTAATTTAATCATTAACTGTTTTATGTCATTCAAATCAAACGTGAGAGCCGAAAGAACCGAAACTAACCATCATTCTTTGTAATTACTAATTTTCAAGTTAAAGGGCACTTGTTTTTCTTCAGGATCAAAATATTGAAGACAATGGGCCGACGGGGCATTGTTTTAAAAAAAACTAAAAGTTTAAATTTTACGTACACAGTGAGCTTGAAAAATGTAATGTATCACATGTATGAGAAAGTGCTTATTATTAATTTGATTAGCTTTTCTCCCCCCCCCCAGTTTCCCTAATTTTAAGGTCATTAACAACTAGTTGCAGCAATTTTCGGTGGGAGCACTGTATATTCACATTATTAAACCACATAATGTTTTATTTGAACATTAAGAACTGTCCGACCATGACTAAATTCGAACATCTGAAATATGCTATTTTAAGTTTTTTTTCTTTTTGTGTACTGTGCTGTATCGTTACGGTTCACGTAACCAACTTTTTTTTTTTGCCCTAGTTTAGAACCTAGCAGTCTCTTCCTTTTTATTTTTTTCTATATAATTTTAATAAAAATGTGGTAAAAATCAAAAAGACTTCTTAACATGTGATGAGAATATGCCTAAAAAAATGCTAATGAATGGCATCGTTTTGCAAGATGTAATTTTTTTTTAAATTTAGGCTAAATGTGAACATGATTATTATTATTTGAAAAAGTTTCCCTACAGTATCAACTGTAATTTTATTTACTACAAAGTTTCATTTCAAAAATTAAAATAATATAGAATTTTATTTTTAAAAGCAATAAATGTCAAAATTTTAAATTTATTTTAAATGTATAATTTTCACATATAAATTTGAGATTAACTTTGTCACATTTTGGGATAGATGATTCTTTCGCCTATTTTAGCAGAAGCAATGTTTGAATTTGATTCCAATGATGTTAGAGACTTACTTGTGCTTAAAATTCTTTAATAATGCTAGGGATATAAACATCTATCCTTGTGTACGATGTATAAGTTTATTTTACTTTAGGAAGTTTGTTTTCATAGTTCATTATTTGGTCTATTATGAAAATAAACTATTTTTCAAATCCTCTCTATTCTTCACCAACTTTCTTTTTTTTCTTTCTTTAATTTTACATTCTGTAATTCTGCAATAACAAGACAAAAATTGATAATTTTATTTTTAGTTTAGGTTACTTATAGCAAAAAAAAATTAATTTTTCGTCAATTCTTCAGGGATTAAAATTCATTTATTTATTTTTATTTTCACAGCATAAATTTTTTTAGGTTTCAATTATTTGAGATGATATGAAATTAAATAGAATCTAAGAATAGGTAACAAAAAAAATCCTCTCTTTTTAAAAGTACTTTTAATTAAATAACATCAGGAATCGATAAATTCAAATTCGTTCATTCAAATTGAATTTTAAAACAAGAGAATAGCAGCAAATTTTTTCCATTTGGGTTTTCTACATTTTTCAGTTGAAACTGGAAACACAAGTTTCAACAACAAATAACTCTTTTTCTTTTTAATGGGATAAAATTTTATATCAGATTTTCCCATTTGATTTTCCTTTTATTGATTTAAAAACCTTTCTATGTGATTTGATAGTTTCATTCAATGGGCGTTAATTTTTACACAAGTCTGTGGTCATTAAAACTTAAAAGCATTGGATATGTACAAAAATGCCTGTTATTTTCTATAATGAACAATCCGAGCTGTACAGCATATTTATTTTAGTAGAACTACTTTTTAACTTAAATTTTGTTTACTTGTCAACATCTCAATGTTCCGTTTTATTGATATTGGTTTGACAATAGTGCTTTTAAATCTAGGACAAATTGGTTGCATAATAATAATATGTATGTTTTTGCTTTGGTCCAGACTAATTTTTTTTTTTCATCATCCCAAACACATTATAAAGAACAACTTCACTTGTCCCGAAAAAATAACCATCCTGAAATTTGAATTTTATTTTTAACTTTATCATTTAGAATTGTTAGCATAATAAAAAGTTTTAATAAAAATAAATAAATACAAATAAGTTAAGTTTTACTGTAACTTTTATAAAAATTACATTATTTAAGCATTTCAGTTAGATTACTAAATTTTACATAGAAATGTTTGATTAGTTAATTTTCATGCAGGGGGACTTATTCAGCATATTCCAAGTTTTTAAAACCTTTAGAAAAAAATTTCATTTTCTTTGTTATTTTTCATGTTTGTCATTTTTAAATTTTCTTTTCTTGAACTTTCAATTTAGATTATAAGCAGAAAACGAATGTTCGCTAATGGTTAATTGAAATTTTTTAACAAAAAATTGATAGAAAAAAAAATTAGTTCTTAGTATTTTTAACATTTTAGAGACAAATATCTAAATTTAAGTACTTCAACCTTCATTTTCAAGTTTTATTCACCAGTTTAAAAAGAAGTGCTTCAGTTTTGTTTGTGTGCTCAATTTATTAAAAGCCCACCACTATTGGTAAGAAGTAAGATTTTTTTTAAAGAAATTAGTTGTTTCTAGAATAAATATAATAGAATTTTAATTAATGTTGTATAGTCCCAGCATCACTCCCTCAAAAAATCCCTGACCTACCATCCCAAATGAATGTTTTATTATCTCCAGTTAATTATAAGCACTCATAGCCAACATCTGAAAATTTTAAATAAGATACTGAAAAGTTTCAATAATGTAAATTGGGTATTTGAGAAATGTTTAATTTGTAGCTATAATTATATTTCTATTTGTGATTAATATATTCCCAGTGTGACATGACTGCTCTTTCTCTTATTATTATTCTTATTAGAAGAAGAAGAAAATGTTGAATTTCAGTATTTAAAGTCAAATTGTAGATTTTATTATAATTAGCATAAGCTACATTTTTATTCTATTTGTACAGTATTTTTAATGCATCATATGAACATTCCTTTTTGCTTAGCACCCCCAAACATTTAATATTATTTTTAACATGATCTTAAAGTTGTTTAACCTACATGCAAATGTGAGCCATGATCTAAATTAAATGGACATTGGTATAATTAGATTAGAACCTTTTCAAATCCCCCCCCCCAACTTTTCTTTATTTTCAATAACTCCTATTCTAAAATTGCCATGAGTTTATGCATCCAGCTTTACTGAATAAAAATAACATATCTGTTTCAATATTTTAATGGTTTGGAATATAGTTTCACAAATAAAACAAAACTTTGATTTTAAAGGCTATGAATATGTGTCAGTTTAGAAATTATTTGTTTATTAATGCTATATCTAATTAATTTTATCCAGCAAAAATTAGTATAGATGAATAAGCAGGGTACTAATAAAGTTTTCATTTTCAAGTGATTTACAATCTCATTTTGCAAAATGAGGATAGATATTGTCATGCTGTAAAATGTCACTGTTTCTATTCTTAAAACTGCTATTTTAAGCTTGTCTACATATCTGTGTATTATATGACCACTTTGAGGGAAGCTATGATGTATTGGGTTGGTTAAAATGTGTGTTTTATCATTAGGTGGCATTACAGGTATTTTTTTTAACTTTATTCAAAAGATTGCTTTTTTTGTGACAGCAGTTATATCAGCTTGCATTTCTTTTTTAAATCTTGACAAAATTAGCA